TCATTTTCACCCTTACCCTATTCTTGGGCTATAGACATAATCAAAGGAGACATTTTATTTTTCTTTGACTTTTTCTATTAGGGGCTCTATTATATGTTAAATGAGTCACTGGGAAACAGTTTTTGAATGAACAAATCGTCAGTGGGACCCTATCCTCTTGTTTTAAGTTTCCTTGCCTCGCAACTTGTTGGTAACTAAGAAATCAGCCAGGCCTGGGGGCTCAAGCTTGTAATCCCAGCACTTTGGGAGATCAAGCTAGGAGGATCGTGGAGGCCAGGAGTTTAAGGCTAGCCTGACCCCATTTCTTAAAAAAAAAGAGAGAGAGAGAGAGAAATTAGCTGGGTGTTGTGTGTGTCTGTTGCCAGTACTACTTAGGAGGCTGAGGCATGCAGATTACTTGAGCCCAGCAGTTTGAGGCTGCAGTGAGCTATGATCATGCCACTGTACTGTGACCTAAGTGGCAGAGTGAGACTGTCTAAAAAAAAAAAGGAAATTAATTTTCTGAACATGTTGTAATAGTGTTAAATATATTTCTATAATAAATGACCTTTTGTCAAAATATCAGCTTTATAGGTTCTGAGTTTTGGTGTGTCATTTTATGAGAGCTTTTCAAGGAGGTACAATGGCAATTGATGGATAAATGGATAATCAATATATGGGGAAACTAAGAGATTGACTTTAATGGAACTTAAATGACTGATTTTCTATGTACATCTATTGTGTTAAGGAAGTAAAAGGATTTTTGTTTTGTATAAGAAAATATTATTAATAACAGTTAACTTTGGGGAATAAGATTAAGTGATAGAGGCATGCTTTTAAAATTAAATTTTATATAGTAAATACCAGAGAATTAAAAAGGAAAACAATGACGAAAGAAAATTAAAATAGAAATGAATGTATGCATGAGACATAGTGCTTGGTTCATGGGAATGAATTTAGGCACATTGGCTTGGTCTGGTGTGGTCTATGGAAAGTGTACTAAAACAGAACTTAAGAGGAGTTGTGTCTCGGTTCTTGTTCCATTATTAATGTATGTTTATATTTACAGGGATGTGCATGCAGTTTGTCTCTGGGATGATAAAGGCCCCGCAAAAATCCATCAGGCTTTAAAAGAAGACATTCTTGAGTTTATTAAGCAAGCACAAGCAGTAAGTTCTGCTTCTTTATTTTAGATTGCTTTTAAAACTACTGAAAACAACATCGTATTTTATGATTTTGAAGGTAGGACTTCTGAAATAATTTTAAAATGCCTTGACTTGTGACACAATTTTTTTTTATTTGTTTTTGTTTTGAGACAGAGTCTCACTTTGTCACTTTTGGTAGAGTGCTGTAGCATCATAGCTCACAGCAACCTTAAACTCTTGGACTCAAGCCATTGGCTTGCTTCAGCCTCCCAAGTAGCTGGGACTATAGGCACCCACCACAACACCCAGCTATTTTTTAGATGTAAAGTCTCTCGCTCTGGCTCAGGCTGGTCTTGAATCTGTGACCTTAGGCACGTCTTGAACCTGTGAGCTCAGGCAATTCACCTGCCTCAGGCTGGTCTTAAACCCATGAGATCAAACAATCCACCCTCTTTGGCCTCCCAGAGTACTAGGAATATAGGCATGAGACACTGCACCCAGCCAACACAATTGTTAAATAAATTTTTTTTTTTTTTTT